CCGCTGATGCCGATCGTGGGCACGTTTGAAGGCAAGTTTTAAGGCCTTCGGTGTCTCAATCCTCGCAACTTTGAGAACTCGGCATCTCTGTTCGAGTACCTCTGCGTTGAATATTGTCATTGTAGAAAAGGCCTGTTCTTACCGGTGACAATTGGATATATTTCAGAGTCTTCGAAGGATGTTTGATGGACCAGGCGCCCGTGAAAACTGAGCCAATCTGTTACTTCATCGGCAAATAGGGCTTTGAAAACCCTAACGGCGGACAGAGACAGACTGCCGCCACATACGCCGAAGAGGTGTGCAACCTGGGAGTTTTAATATGTAAAATGGTACCTACCACTGGACGTCTCGTGCTGAGGTAACTCAACACCTCCATCTGCACATCATTACCGGCAGGACTACGTGGTGCACGGTGCCGATGTCTCCGATAGTGCTCGTTAGTGGCTCATCGCTGCCCATTGCCGTCACCTTTGTCCGAGTGCTTTTCCTCCCCAGAAGCGTACTTCCATCACCTGGAAGTTCGGGGGCCGCACGTTTCAAAATTTTGAGAAGTTTCGTCAGATGTTTAATCGGGGTGTTGCGGTCTATTGCCCAAGACTGCAGAGCACTTTTTAGAGTCTCCTACTGCTCCATCGCTGGTTGCCCAGTAACGTTGCTGGTTGAGGGTTCTGTTACTTCTTCCGATGACGAATAGCTCCAGGTACTAACATCGTCCAACGAAGTTGTGCTATAGTCAGATTCGTCAGATGAATAACTGCAACAAGAGTCAAGAGAGTCTGACAATCTAGTCATTCCCCTTGCTTCTTGCTCAATTTTATGTAAATTTTTAAGCAATCCGCGCAAAGCACGAGGGAGGAGAAGAGAGAAGGGATGTAATTGGTGAGGTGTCAAGACTGCACTGGAGAACGCAGGTACCTTCGCAGAGGCCAGCCCACAAGAATGACCCCTCCCCGAGGAATACAGTCAGTGTTTGTTAAAAAGGATGGTTATGGCTAATACGACGACGAATCACGTAGAATGATAAGGCGGCAAAGGCGAGATACTGCGTTATGGTCTTGCTACTGTCTCGGAGCTACTGTCGGCACAGTGCTCCGAACAAGAAGAACTTCCGATATTGCAGAAGGACTCAAATGTTGTATGTTTGGATACAGAACAGTCCGTTATATACTACACGCATAGTAGTCTGATGAGTAATGCATGCGAAAACTGAACTTAGTGAGACGCAGGACAGGAATTTGCGAACGCTCCCCTGACAATGTAGATTTCATTTTGCAAGGTGGTCATTTGGTGATAAATATCTCATTAAAAAACGTTCTAAATGGACGGATAATCGCCCATCTGCAGGACAGTTAGGCCGTCGATGTCGACTCTGTCCACCGAATGCTCCACAGCAGAGTGATGCAGGAACGGTGACTTGCGCTTGAATTAGCTTGAAGTGATAGTAGACTTGCTCAGCATCTACCGTACCCTCTCTTCCCTAACCTCCCTGTGCTCGGTGTCAAGATAGAGACAAGAAGACCGTAGGCGGAATCGGGTGGAGGTGGCTGGCCCTACGCGTGCCACCATGCCCCCTCCCCACATCTTCGACATTTGCTATCAGCACGCAATCTGAAAAAATGCGTGCTCTACCCGGATCTGCACCCGTGGAAGTCCAACTTATCTACCGTGTGGCGTTTTTAGGGGCACAAGCGTCCATCTACACCTCCTACCAAGCTCACTCTCATTTTCTTCTGAAAGTACAGTTATGTGGCCTATTATCCTAGCCGATGTGTGGCTGTTGTCTTCGTTCAAAATATTTAGTCCGAAAGCACCCCCGACAGTGGAAGTAACAGTACAAAGAGCGCGTGGCTCATTTGTTTTGGGCTTGCTTTGGGGGCATCAGGTCGCGGGTTCAAGCTTCTGAGCTTTACACAAACGCGTTTGATTATCACTACTACGCCCGAGATTTTCATTTCAGAATTACTCATCTGAGTTGATAATGCACTTAGTCGTGTGTGTACAGCCCACGAGAAATAAATCACTGTGAATTAAACACGAATAATTTAGTTTGGCTAAAGTCTAATGGGAAGAGTACTCACATACTACATTTTTATGCAAACATCTCCCGACATGCTCTCTTTGAAGGTGTAGGGTCACCCGAGCCAGTGTGAAACCCAAAGTACATACTTATCAAAGATAATTAGTCTTAAATTGAAGATTAGGCGTCCTACTAAAACTAGCAATCCAACCAATCGCCTGCCGTTTCTGCAGTCTGCGAAGATATTTAAGCAGTCAAATTCGGAGACGTCCCATCTAATCCCAGTCACCGTCGCCGTACTGCTAGATTGAGTTAGTGGATACGGTATGTTAGTAGACAGTTAAACAGAAATTGTAGGGGTAGCCGTACTTTTTTTTATTTATCGCCGTTTTTCTATGTCATTTTTAGAACTGCTGACAAAGGCAATGATGAAGTTCCTGTTCAACTTCATACTCATCCTTTCAATTGTCTTCTCGGGTATGTTACAGGCGATCTGAACAATTTCTTCAAGTGTCTTTAAGGCAATTCATATAAACACTTAATTGTTTTAAACCCACAGTATCCATTCAGGCACCGGTCCAGGCTACCTCCTCAGTCAGCAGCGACTCGAATCCACCCGAGTCTTCCTACTCATCCACTGGTGGCTCAAATCCTACGGAGTCTTCCTCCTCATCCGCTGGTGGCTCATATCCTACCGAGTCTTCTTCCTCAGTCAGTAGCGACTCAAATCCTACCGAGTCTTCCTCCTCATCCACTGGGGGCTCAAATTCTACCGAGTCTTCCTCCTCATCCACTGCTATCTCAACTTCTACCGAGTCTTCCTTACAATCCACTGGTGTCTCAAATTCTACGGAGACTTTCTCCCCAGCCGCTGACACCTCGAAGTCTACTATACCTTCCTCTGAATCAACTAAATCCACTAGTGCTTCAAGTGCTTTAATTTTATCCATGGCACCGTATAGCCTTATCGCACTTATGACTGTCATCCCATTTTAATCCATAACAATGCCGTAAGCATAGGAGACATTTTCTGAAATTGAAGGTCAAATACACATTTTATCCTGGGCACTTTTCTGCTCCTAACCTGCCCTGTCCACGATGAGGACATACGAGTAGGAGGAGGGAAGCGCAATCGAAACCGCTGCCGCGCTATTGAAGTTATTTGCATTGTATATTTTATGCCGAAATTTATAGGGAGGGTGGGTTTAGGAGAAGTTAAGGGGAATCTTATGTCCATGCAAAAAATTGAGGTTATATATGTTGTTGGTGTAAGTGTCAGGGATATGGTAGATTGAGACTTGAAAGGAAAGTTAACCGTTGGGTTAATTGAGAAGAGGTGGACGTGATGACTCGAAAAGAATTTGATTCGCCTGACCTTTCAAATTTCAACTCGGACACATCTTCTGAGAGAGCATGAGGTACGGGTATTTTGTACACGGGAGTTTCCGTCTTTATAAAATGCAGTCACCATGGTGTTGTACACTTATGACAAGAGATGTCTTTTCGTCCATCGAAGATGATTGCCCTCTGTTGTGTTTATTGCTTGAAGGCCGCTATGGAAGCAGTTATCTGCTGGAATTTCATTCCCAAATTGGAGTTTGGTATGATGGTTGCTCGGTTTGTTGTCTCTCCAACATTGCGATTGGACGATGTGTTGGCCTACATGATTTGGCCAAATTAAGTTTCTTAATCTGTTTTCGCTTTTATCGTAGCTTCAGTGTTATGTTATGGTTAGACGTAATGCTTGTGGTCTGCATTCTCGTATTTAAATCTGATGCCTAGAGCGTAGCTTACATAAGTTTATTTTCTTGGTTGTTTGAGAGTAAATAAATAATTTTCGCAGGCGCTGTTCTCTGTCTTGGTGGCAGACGCATTTCGCAAGAAATGAAGTGCAATTATTTGTGTAAATGGATAATATTGCAGTTATTTCAAGACCGAATGAGTCGGACAAGGGGAGGAAGTATTTAAGCGAAAATTAATTAACATCTTGTCTGCGAGCGGAGGTAGCGAGGTATGAGTAGGATATCCACTAAAGTACATATTCGTACTACATTCGCATGAAATGGGCACTCCATCGCTCTTTTATTGTTATGGAATCTTATCTATCTAGAGGACAAGGTTCTCAGAGTTGTTCAGCCTATACTCTGAGGAAATGCATCGGTACAGCCTAATATTTTAAAAGAGGTCGTTCACAAAATTGTAGGCAGTACTTACTTGTTCCAAGTAATACAAGCTCATTTGGTGATGTCAGTTAACACGAGCCAGCCAGCGTAACTGAGCAAAAAGAGCAGACAATGAAAAACTTCCTAAGGCATGGCTAGGAATTCAAAAGGTGGAATGTCGTTTGTGGTTTTTTAGGAGACAAACTGTTGCTCGTGGGAGGAAAGTGTGTGAAAGATAGGACCGGCATGCCGCCGTGAATGCTGGCAGCAAGCTAGGGGTCACATGAGGAAGAGACAGCGGAGTCTCGAAAACATCCTGAAGAACCGGAGATGCGACCAGGATACGCCCTTGCTGTTTGTTGAGTCTGGCAGTAAGGTGATGAAAACAGAGGAACCCGTCACGATCAATAGCAGTCGGCTTTTAGGTCAATATGAGGAAGAAAATTGCACTGCCGCGTAGCCTAGGGTCATATTTGCGGTAGGGTGACTGCCGACGTGATTGTTTCAGTTCGCATAGTGCGAGGGAGGCCAGATCAAAGAAATCGTTGATTTCGAGGCAACAATCCTGACCCCGCAGCATGCGACATGCCTGTATTAGGTCACCGCGTACCTGTCTGTAATCAGGGGGCAAGAAGTCAAGATTGAATAAGTTTGTCTCATAACGGAGGTACCTGTGGCCTCATACTAATTTAGTTGCGCGTCGTTGAACTCTTTCAAGGGTCTTTCGTTCGTTGACAAAAAAAGTCATTACGAAGATTGCTATAGTAGTCGGTAACTGTACACCGATCTGTTTCAGTATGTACCCATCCTGGTTTGATGCCTTGCTTGCGAGCTAATTGGAACCCCAAACATATGTGCCCAAGACGAAATAGTTATGTTACTCGCTAGCTTTTAGTAACAATCGTATTTAATGACAAACACAGAGCACATCCACAAAGCGCTTTTCTGCCTCATTGGGCGTCATCAGATGGTGGTAGCTCAACTTAAGTGTAGCAGTGTAGAGTTATATCGACGAAAACTGAACTAATTTGAAAACAGTGAAGTAATTTGCGGACACTACGCTGAATGTGACATTGGGGTCCTAATGCTGTACTGTTGCCTTCATGAGATAAATATTTCATTGTATGACGTTTGAAATGGACTGATAATCGCCCATCTACAATTCCTACCAAGATCATTTTCCTTTGCATTTGTAATTAACGTTCTGTGACATAAAGTCTTCTTCACATCATATAGTTAAAAAACGTATATCGGTTGGTTTCAGAAGAGGTTCAAATAATTAGCTTTTTAAGATCATTAAATATTCATTCACAGTACACCGCATCCGCCGATGCTGCTTATAAAGTATGCTACATGATGTTTATTCATTGAAAAAATATAAGGGCCCTATGTGACCTGTTCGTCATAGCGTGAAAAGGGTAAGATCATCACCAGTAACGACTGGTATAGTACAAAAGCAACAAAAACAGCTATTTCAGGATTATACGGACTGCCAAAACTGCACATGCCAGAACTATGCACATTCGAGGCCACTGACCCTTACACAAATGACTTAAATGATCTATTCCTATATACGAACTTATTGCTGTGATAAAGATAAATAAAAAGTTAGCAATCACAGTTGCGTCTGAGCAATCGTATGAGCAACAGAATTGGATACTGCGTTATAAATCATAAATCACATCAGATTAACAACGGGCAGTCATTTAGAACAACAGTCAATAATGTTTGGCAAATATAGTGAACTGAGAAAAGAAGCAGTAAAAATATCCTATAAGGCAAATCATAGGCAGAGTTCCGCGAACCCCAGATGGCAAAAATATAGGATAAAAACTGCTTCTATTATTAATACGTGGTAAGATTGATATGATGCAATCAGATGGGATCGTGCTGTTGATGAGAACGTGTGGGGATTCAGAAAGTTCCTTGTCGTGAGAGATATCATATAGCATAATGGGGGTGCGACAGAAGGACTTAATCGCGGATAACAAGGTCAAGGGGGAGCTCAGCGAGGACAACGGAGTCAAAAAACAGAGGGGAGAGTAGATGTCACGAGAGCATCACCGCAATGTCGGAGATGCGATCAAGCAGACTGCAGAGTCCCCCGACAAGCTGGCGAAAACATAAGAACCCGCGACGATCATCAACAGAGATCTCGGAGAATACCATCAGGGCTGCAAAAAGTAGAAGAGTTGTGGACATTTGGAAATGAAGGTTGACTCTGCAGAGGATATCAAGAAACCAATTTATTATCATGGGAGAGCCTTTAATGACAGAAGGACTTCTTTCAGCAGCCAAATGTTGCTTATTTGGGAAGGAAAAGCGCAGTAAGTACTTTATATCTCCCAACTCTAAATGCTTATGTAACTGTCATCCGAAAATTGATAATTCAGACGATGACCACATTTTGAGTGGAAGATTAATCCAGATTAAAGCATATTTGGAGGCGAAAAACGAGAAGAGAACGAGAACTTATCGTGGAGGAGTTACGAATGGCGTAAGGTCGACCTGCCGAAGTGACAGCGTTAATTTGTGGGAGATTAGAGTTAGTGTTAACGCGAAACGGGAAGCATAGGTTTCACGCAAATTTAATGTTCGCTAACTGACGTTAATCTGTATAAGAAATATTGGATGCATAAAACGAGAATCATACGAATAGTAGCAAATATGCGTGCCCCAGGTTCTTGTTGTAAAGAAGAAGAAGACGCGATCTTTGGAACGGCAGTTTTATTGTCCTGAGCTTTCGGCTTCACGCGAGAGGCCATCGTCAGAGAAAATGAGAAAGCAGCAAACGTTGGCTACGCATAAATGGGAGTGAGGGAGGGAGGGGCACTTGTGGTTGGTCCATGCTCATGCCAGCTTATCGTGTCTCCCCAGCGCCAAGGACGCCTCTCGTGTGAAGCCGAAAGCTCAGAACAGTAAAATTGCCGTTCTAGAGATCTCGTCTCCTTTTTTACAAGAGAAAATAATTTTCGAGTAAAAATTATCTGAACATTTCAAAATTTACTGCGGTCCGACGCGTTCATCAGACCAAAAAGGGGTCAGTAGTATTCTAGGACGTGAGAAACAAACATGTGGTACATCTTTAGGTTTATTTCCGGAAGGGAGAAGTTATGTGATATAAAACCAAATATCTCTGAAGCCTTTGTCGAAATTCGACCTGCACTAGACGATAATGGTAGTTTATTCGTGCAACTTACACCTAAGTTCTTTATGTTCGATCATTCTTAATGTGGACTATCTTTAAAAAACTAGGGGTCCAGGAAGTCTGGCAGGACCAAAACACATGTAACTACACTTGGATGGAAAAAACTCCACCTGTCAGGTAGCGCTTCAACGGGAGAGCGTACGCAATTCTGCGCTGATTTTATTAACGCAAATATTGGGCGTGTTCTTAGAAAATGAGTAAATGCACTTAACGTCGTCTGCGTATGCGAATTTTGCAGAATTTTTGAGCACTTTTGAAATTTCATTTATGTAAAAATGCAAAATTGGGGACCTTAAACCGTGGCTTGAAAGACGCCGCTCGTGATCGGCTCAGGCGTCGAGTAGCTAGTACCGACAAAGCCCTTCTGGCTGCGGTCAGACGGGTTGGAATTAATGAAGTCCAGGAGAGGAGGTAGGATACCGAGGGCTTCCAGTTTCACTAGAAGACGTCTGTGCGGTTCCTGATCAGAAGCCTTGCTAAGGTCAAAGTAGATGAAAACCACTGATTACTGTTCTTTAGGAAGTGCAGTGACGAGGTTAGGAGAAACTAAGTGACAACTTTCGCATGATCGTCCAGGTAG